CGGCGAACATTGGTAACAAAAGATCTAGTGATCATGGACAACGTAGCTTTCACATCTTGTACAGGTGGTTGTCATTAATGCGATACAATTATAAGTGAAGAGAAACATACACACATAGCAACGCATTATTAGATAAGGACCACAATGTAATGGTGAACCAGCATAACACATGAGGCAGTTGGCAACACCGTTAACTTGACGGCGAACATTGGTAACAAAAGATCTAGTAATCATGGACAACGTAGCTTTCACATCTTGGACAATGTGTCCAACGTGAGACAAATTAGTACAAGGATCTTGCCCCGCTGTGGGGATCTAGAGTTTTCCAACTCTTAGATTTATTGTTGTAAAAAATCGGAGTCTTGCGTCCGCGAGTAACCTAAAAATACAGAAATTGAAGAGTTTCACGAGCCTCAGTTTATTGTATTTGACAAATATACAAAAGCATCGCTCTTCCGTACATAACAAACAACATCCATATCTGGTGACGAATTGCTAAACCTACTCAGGCCTCACGGAGAATGGGTGGACCGTCAGTCTTAAAGCTACATAACTACAGATGGTTGTCAAGAATCTTTGACATACTAACTGCACAGAACTACAGCAATACAGCATATTGCGCTCAAATGTCCATGTTGTCGAAAATTTCTCCATCTTCATCGTAGCGCAACTTGTCCATCAGAAATCCATCAGCCACCAGGTTACTGCCAAAAACAGTGGGTAAACAGAAAACCCCTTAGTCGTTGGTTCTTTGTGGGAGCACTTGTTAAAATTTAAAGAAGTTTGAGATGATCGTAACCCACCTTAAACAGCAAACGTGGAAGCTCACAACACGCTTAAGTTTCCTATTGTAGAAAAAGAAATTGAACGACCATCTGCAGGAAACAAAAGAGCGCAATGTCATTGACAGGTATATGCAGCCACGAATGTGTAAATTTATCAAGTAACAAAAAGATAACTCACATGGATCCTCTCTCAAGAAACGGATCAGCATCCGAGTCCGGACTGTAACTGTAAACTTCACATTCCGCTAGTCTAACAACCTGCATTGCAAGGTATCAGAAAATTGCCTCCTGGAATTACCTGCTTTCACTTCTTTTGAAAATATGCTTACCTCATCCAAAGCCTTGTACAAGGCTTCCAGCAAGGAACTGCCCTCATTTGTCTCTGTCCATTCCTGAAATTTAATTGTCCCAGCAAAACCAGAGAACAGGATCAACATCGTCGTCAGCGTAATAAAGCCGTCAATATTCTATAAAAACTAAATGACGTGACAAATAATAATGAACTAGACTCAGCATCTGGTCAACAGGAGGATTGCAAAGTAATGTAACTGTAGCTTCACAAAAGTAACATACATGGACAACAAAGCAAAAGCGCCTTTTATCACAGCAATACCTTTGATGCTTCAAACATATAGGTATCAAAAATCTGCTTAAAACTGTCCCAGCTTTCCTCTGTGAAAAACTGATGAGCATTTACTGCACTGGAGTGGAACCACAAAGATGTAGGTAATACACTTACAAAAATTACAAAGAAACTATTAAGAAGGAACTCCACGTCAATGCATCAGAGTACAGTATACTCCAAAGTCATCAGGTGCAAAATAAAAACAAAATCCACGACACAAATGTTCAACTTTTTTTACTTGGGAAATGGAGAGACTTGAACTCTCAGCTCCATGCAGAGCGACAGTTCGAACTGTCTGTCAAACCTCTTGACAACACTCCCAATGCAAACATAAGAGGATTATACAGCGGGTTGCCACGTCGCCCAATAAGCTGACCGTGACATTACCCATAATTAGGCCTGGCATTTTGGACCCAACCCGTTAACCCGACCCGACCCAACCCGTTAATATTTGTATTTGGGTGGATGCTTAACGGGTCGGGTCGCTAACGGGTGAACCCGTTAACAACCCGTTAAATAACGGGTCACTTTGGGTCAACCCGTTAGACCCGTTAGGACCCGTTAACACCCGTTAGCACCCGTTAGTTGAGGATATTTTAGTAATTTTAGTAAAGTCTTAATAACAAAAAATAAACTTTATGCAAAAAAAAATAATAATAATAATTGTTAACGGGTGTTAACGGGTGAAACGGGTGACCCGTTAGCTTAACGGGTCGGGTTTGGGTAACCCGTTAGCTTAACGGGTTGGGTTCGGGTGACCCGTTAACTTAACGGGTCGGGTTGAACCCGACCCAAACCCAATAAACCCGACCCGTTTACAGGTCTACCCATAATCCTCTTGTTCAGACCTCCATGAAATGAAATACAATGTGTTTAATAAAGCCCAAAGAAACAGGGATACCTGAAGTCATAGTCTGGATACAAGTGATAGAGTGTCAAACAAGGTAAATCAATGTCTTCCGGCTGGAATGCACATAAAGTATTACAAATTAAACATCGATGAGAAACAACGTGCAATTTTCCACATCTATCTAGTTAACATAGGTCACCTGGATCTGGTCAGCAGAAATTCAGCAGGCGAGGAAGAATCAGAGTCCGAAGATTTCCCAAGATAATCAAGAATCTGAGTATTTCAACAGAACAATAATATCGAGACCAATCTATCACTTATATAGCAAGAGAATATTGGATGGCAAAAAATGAAAAGTACGAATATGCCAGAAAGCTTTCAGATGTTTGGAAACCGATATACAGAAAACATCCTTACATACTAAAATATAAAATCAGATCGATACATATGATAATATACAGATAAGTAAATGAGAGTAGATGACCCAAAAAAATACCAAATCGACATAAAACAACAACAACAACGACAAGGCCTTATCCCACAAAGAGGGGTCGGCTGTATGAATCCTAAAACGACACTGCACTCGGTTTTGCGGCAAGCCATAGCAAATCTACACAGAATTATAAAAATTGTTATATTTTACCTCATTCTCCAAACCGAGAGACAATTTCTTATCCGATCCGGTGTGTTTGCCTAGTAATTAAAACACAACAGAAAATAAGTCTTTCTGCAACAAATCACAAACACGTTGATAGCTCGAAAAATTAAAAAAAAAAAAAAAAAAAAAAAAAAAAAGTACCCACACGAGTAAGCTTCAAGACAACCCTGAATTGTTCGCTCTCCGAGATTCAAATCACTAAAGAAATCATTTAACCTGCAAAGTAAAGCCCAAAACTTTATTACATTTACAAAAAAATGCACAGAATTAGAATGTAAGGACCAAATTAAGTGGCTGCTATTGTAAATTTACCGCTCCAACGGGGTGTATTCCAAGAACTTCATACCCAGCGAATGTCGAAAGCACCCAAATTATTACAGAAAAAGGAGATCCTGTAAAATTAAAAATTAAAACAATTTCAAATTTCAACCACATTTGTATAATCCACAGCACACACTCCACAGATACAAATGAAAATATGAAAATTGCAAAAAAAATAATAAAAGCGTAATTAAGCGCATGAACCACAAGCATTTACTGAGAACTGGATTAAATTAAACTACTAGTACCGAAAAATTAGCGAAAAAAATGGGACCGAGAGAAGAAAAATGACGAGACGGGAGTACCTGAGAGGAAATTTGAATGATTTGAACAAGTCGAAGACGACGAGGGTTCCGATTTGGACGTTGGATTTCGGTAAAAAGGGGTTCTAGAAGGTTTCGGACAGCCACCAATTTCGAATATTCCAAATTTTGAATTAGATTTCAGTTGGTGCTTCGTCGGTAACTCTTCAAAGTCAAACCTCTCCATAGTTCAAGCGTGTTGATGCACTATTAGATGGGCGCCACGTGTCCATCTTTCGGACAATTGACTTGTGGATAAGGATCAGCCGTACGACCGAAATACATTGAGAGCCAGCCCATTTATCCAGCCGGCCTACTGGACTTTCAGCATTTGACTGTTAATGTTTCATTTGTTTGGTCTTGGATAAGTGCTTTTCACGCCCTTTTATACTTTTCACGTAGTCTTGTTAAATTTTGTTTATAAAATTTTGTTTATAGAGAACTGTTATTAGTATTTTAAAATTTTTATTATATATTTTTTATAAGTATATATTTTTTTCTAATTATAGAAAATTTGAAGTGTCAAATGAGATATTTGGAATGCTAATAACAATTCCCTTGTCTATTGATCTTCTTCAATTGTCTTGATCAGACGGTCAGAAATGGATAGGAGTGTATCAGATATAAATATGTGTCTTGATAACATCGCCCTTTGATCTTTTATTTTCCAAACTCATTGATCTGGTCCTTAACTGTTTTACTCATTAATGGAGGCTTAACATCTGAAGAGAAAAGTTAAGGAGACTCTCTATGAAGTATCTACCACCTCATCTTTTTTGCACAATAATTATATTGTTGACACCGAAACTAAATTGGTTCATGATTTGAATGCTTATAAATATGTTATTACGACTTAGGTGCAATACCACGATTAGATAGACTGAAAAAGTTTGAGTCTTTCCTTTCTTTTCTTTGTTTTTGAAAAAATGGTAAAATTCATGACCAACAAAGAACGAGTACAAACGGACTCCAAAACAAGAAGCACCAATGAAAAGAGGGGCCGAAAAAAAAAACACAGGAGACAAAGCCCAAATATAGCTCATCCCGCACCAAAACAAACAAACAAACAAAAAACAAAAAAACACACTAAATATTTACAGGTCTTGTAGATGCAAGCTCAAAGACAGCTTTCCTTCCTTTGGCTTTTGAGAAAGTACACTTCTGTGAGATTGATTTAACAGCGTCTCTCTCTCTCTCTCTCTCTCTCTCTCAACCAGGTACTCCTCTTTCTCTCTCTAATTTGTTGATACTCTTTGGTATTATGGTTTTTCTCATGCAGAATTCAGATGGTTCCTTCATACTTTTAAGGTTTTATGGAACCTGTTTGTTTCGTGATTTATGAAAATGATATATTTTTTTTCTTTGTTTTTTGTAATTGGTGCGATGGCAAGTGCATTCGTCCATGAGCGGTAGGTCTCGGGTTCGAGACTTGGGAGCAGCCTCTTCATAAATGGGGGTAAGGTTAGCCGACATTCACCTCTCCTAGACCTTGCGTAAAGCGGGAGCCTTGTGCACTGGGTACGACCTTTTTGTTTTTTGTAATTTGATTTGGGTGCCATTTTTTTTTTAAATATTTCTTGAGCTTGTATCATAACATGTTCTCTTTCATTCCGTAGATAGGGATGGCCTCTCCCACTGCAGATACCAAATATTCCATTAGATCAGTGAAGTACAGAGACAGCCACCAGCTTTACGACGTGGTTTTTGGCAGCACCACCATCAAAACCTTGGTCACCAGAAAACCCGAAATAGTGGATTCTTGGGTAGGATGCATGCGAAGCCGTGACGACAATATTAACATCATAGGACTCGACATAGAATGGCGTTGCAAATCCTTGACAGGAGATCATACTCGCCCTTCCACTTTGCAGTTCTGCACCGTCCAACGCTCTCCCGGAACAAAATATTTTTCCCTCGACGAGGGTGGTGGGAATGGTTATAAATGTCTTGTCTTTCAGTTTAAGGATTGTGACAAGGTTCCGCAGTCGATCGTTAACTATCTTGGCAGCAAGAGTTGTGTGTTTGTTAGCGAGAGAATGACATACATCAAGGATAAGCTGGAGGAGCACTATAAATTGGACGTGGCATATCCGATCGACATTAATCAATTCATCAAGGTTAGGAAGCCTGAGAAGCCTACTAATGTGAGAAACAGTGACTGGGACAAATCGTACCTTGATCCTACTCAGGTTCGCTACGCTTGCTTGGATGCTTTAATGTCATACGAGGAAGCTTCGCGTTTCATAAGTACAAACAAGGGCCTCAGGAAAGTGAACCATAGACTGTCTTTGGATGGAATGACGCAATATCTTTTCGGTGAAACAGACCCAGAGATTGCGATGGAAGAGGAAAATAAAGAAGAGGAGGAGGAGGAAGAAGAAGAGGACGACTTTGATGTGATTGTTTCCGACGAAGTGGAAGACGGAGACTATGATATGGTAGAGGAAGATGAAGACTTTGACATGATTTCTCACCAAGATGTGTATGACTTGGAATATCCACCTCTAAAATAAATACTGAATGCTGGTTGTTTCTGTGACACAATTGAGGATTGTTTTAGCATTTACAATTCAACTTACATATGATTTGTCAGCTTTGGTTGCTTGACTTGATTTTCTCAGTATAATTTCTGTTTATATAATACAAGTAGGGTATATACTTTTCATTAACTGCTCACCAACAAGCATTGCAGGCCAATTTCGATTCATTCTTTTCGTCTTTGATTGATGCCTCCTGCTGAAATTGCGCGCCTCTCTCCTCTTGATCAAAGCCAATACTTAATTATGTCGATTTGCTGGTATTAGATTGAATTTAGTGACCACGACTGATATGGGGCTGGGGCTCCGTATCAAGCTGCAGGGTTGTAGGTTCTGTCTCTTCATCCGAGGAGGTTGCTGACGAACTTGAAAGATCCTAATCGCATTTTACCCACCATATCAACAAGTGAACTAGTTAGTGCCGTGTTAGCATACTAATTGGTTACCACTTGAGCACTACCATCTATCACATTCATACACAAAATAATAGGAGGAGAACATGCATATACATACTTGGTGGCTTTGCCTGCGCAGGAGAGCAGTTACTGCCATCACCATTCCATAGATTGGCAGCACAAACCCAGAAGTTCGCACTACTAACAACTGCGCAAACACAAGCAAGAAATTAATCGAAGGTCAGATTTTCTTATGTTGTACCTTCTACCTTATGAAATTCATGAAGCAAGGTTGAAGCTAATTCATAAATGTTTTTACCATAACAAGTGGGAAAGAGTACTCTTGGCTTCCGCTGATGATGAGAGGAAGCGTATGCCGGAGAAACAGCAGAACCATAAACTACATGCACACCAAGAAACAAAACCAAAACTTGTTCAGATATGATCATCAGGATAAGAAAATGCAGAATTCATCAGTTTACTATCTGCTCGAGGAAGAGGAATTACAATGAAAGCAAGCGAACTGCCCAATAACACATTTCTTGCAGTAGAAACTGGGAACTCGTCATAGCCAGGGTTAAGGAAATCGCGATCAGTTGCAACCATTGCTATGATTCGAGGACTGTCCCTTCTCGAGATCTCCCAGTTTCCCCTGTTATTACAACCAAAGTTATAATCAGAAAGAAATGCACTTAAGCAAAGCCTTATCACGCGGAGATTAGTAACATAATTCACCTAAAGTTCATAGGTACACGCCCAAACTGAAACAGCGGAGGAGGAGCCGTGTAACCCGGCTTGAATTGCTGGAAGTAATAATAATTAATGTCACAAGGGTATTTTTCATATCATCAAATAAAATTTCTCAATGGAAGGGGTTAACTATTGGATTAATGTCAAGATTAGTGAACTCACCTGGTGGCATATCTCACAAACTGTGTCACCCTTCTCATTACACCACCTCTGTACACATCTTCTGTGGACATACTGCAAGATTAACACACCAATTAAATTAATTTCGACCGCAGAAACGCACATGAACATTTGATCTTGGAACGAGCTTGAAGAAATTAAAGACACTTCTTTATCTTTTCATTTGTTCTGGTTAAAGTTCGTTAATCCTCGAAACTATGACAAGGATGTCACACACCAAAATTGAAGCTTAAGAATTAGGACTAGCAATTCCGTGTTATGCTAACTAACCTTTAAGCTGCCGCAACAAGAGCACGGCGTCTCCATGTTCGAATCCTGATCCTCATCCTTACAGATCCTGCATTCTGCTAGCTTCCCAGGAGAGGAAGGTGTATCTTTGAAATCGATTTTCTGACAAGAGACATCGCTTTTCGCATCTTCGAGCGCCGAGGAAGTAGCTTGCATCGATCTGTTTCTGCTCTCGATCGCAGCCTCTAACGTGGATTCGGTGATCAATCGATCCACCAACAGTACAAAGTGCTCCCCCATCCTTAAAATCTCCACAAGAAACACAGGAATTCACAACGTTTTAAGGAAACCCCCTGGAAAAAATAAAAATCCATTTTGTTTAATACATGAGAAGTTGAACTACATTAAAACAACAGAAATCAACGAAAGAATATCGCCGTTATCAATTCATATCGTAAAAGGATACACGAAAATCAGCACAGATCGTAACGAATCGAACCAGCTAAGAATTCAACCAAATTAAATACAAGTAGAGAAATCTGAACGATCATAGAAAAGAAGGAAAAAGAAAAGGAAGAAGAAAGTACCCAGAAAAGAAAGCAAAGTGAGATGCCAGAAAGTCGATACCTTTATGAAAACTCAGGCCTTAAAAGGCATCAAGAAAACAAGAAAGGAAGAATCTGAGAGACTTACACGAAGAGGTTACGGTATTCTTGAAGCCAAGAGATTGAGCGACTTGTTTGTGGGAGCTCAATTTACAAATATAGCGTCTTAATCCAAGATTAATTCATTAATTAACATGTGTGTTCTAAATTAGTGGCGTTAATACAGCACTCTTGTCTCTCTCTTTCTCTCTCTTACTTTTTGTGCAAGATATTTATGTCGACATGTTGTTTCTCTTTTTTTTTTTTAACATTGATATTTTTACATTAAGGAGAAATGAGAGTTCGGCTATACACATTGACAACTTAATTTGTTATCGAATTTATCATCCACGAGATTCAAATCTAAAACTTCTCACTTTTAAGTGAAGATGAATATCATCATATCATAGTATTATGTGACAACGTATCGTTTTTATATATGGATTGGAAACAGATCATCTCTGGATCCTTTCCACCAAATCCAACTAATCATCTAATTTGAACCCTTGAAATTTGATCTAATAGTTAAAATTATTATAACTTTTAAAATGATCTCCTATTGTAATTATTGGATTAAATTTTAAGTATCCGAATTGATTGATTGGTGGATTTAATAAAATGAATCCGAACATAAGCCCTTTCCATATGAATTAAGAGAGAGAGAGAGAGAGAGAGAGAGAGAGAGAGATTCTAACGGGAAGGCCAAGGCTCGACTTCCACGATTCCTTGTACTTTAACCGTTACAGCTGGTAAGACTTTCCACAACTTAACTTTCAAGGTAAATTTCATTTTCTCATCTCTCACCACACCATCGTTGTTTTTGGGGGGTAACTTTGGTACAACATTTTCACCTGCAGATCTCTAACTACCAAGTCTCTAAATAGGAAAATAAAATGCACTGAAATCATTGTTGCTCATGACATGATATCACAAACTTAAGATTCCTTGTTTGGTTTGTTAATTGCATTTTAATTACGTAACTAATGGTTGTTTGTTCAAACGCATATATATGAGAGATCAATTGATCATCTTTCATGCAAGTGGACTTTCACTACAGTGGTTGAAAGGAGTTATGCAATTGCATCTCGGCGTGGATTCGAACCACATTAGCTTCTTAACCTAACATCTAACCACTAAGCTATCATATTTAACAAAAACTAAAAAACAAAAAAAAAAAAAAAGATTTTGATAAAACGAAAAGGTTAATTTATCCCAATGTAGTCATATTTGTCTAAGATGAATATATGTAATCTCAAATGAAAATTATTTTTTAACCACTCATTTTTACCTCTCACACACCTTTGTTAATTTTTGTCATTGATATTTTTTAGTTCATTTAATCAGACGGCCAAAAATTGTAAGATGCGTTTAAAAAATAAAAATAGGTGTGTGAATAGCAATACCCATCTCAAATATTCTTTAATTCATTCGATCGGATGGTCCAAAATTGTAAGAGATGTGTGAAAAATAAAAATAAGTGTGTGGATAACAATACCCATCTCAAATATTCTTTAATTCATTTGATCGGATGGTCCAAAATTGTAAGAGATGTGTGAAAAATAAAAATAAGTGTGTCAATAGCAATACCTATCTCAAATCTTGTGGTAAAATGAGTGGGGAAGAGATCATGTAGGCAACGAAAGTCAAAGATTGTTAGGGTTTATAGAGAGAATGCATGTAAGCCTATCTTTCTCTCCTTTCTTAATTCTTAGTTTCAATTGCTTAAATTTTCCGAAAAATCAAGTGGAGCATTAGGATTTATGGTAAGAATGCATGGCGTGTCATGACATTCATTTTGTCAACAATTCACGAAGCTTGTCATATTGTGGTCAACATTGATGTTTAGGCGTGCCACGATGGGAGTGTTATCCTGCCAAGATAAGTCATGACAAGCCATGTCAAGCATGCAAAATGCATGCCATGACATTTCGTCAAATGCCCACAACGATGTTTTGACGTGCCATGATGCAAGAGTTAACGTGTCAAGACAAGTAATGACATGCATCTTTTATTTGTAGGTGTTCTTACCCGTAAGAACACATTCAATATCTAAGCTGAATATTTACACATCTTCTTACCGGTAATAACGCGTTCAATATCTAAGTTGAATATTTACATTGTTTCTTACCGGTAATAACACGTCAATTATCTGATTTTGTAGATATTCATGCGTAATCAGATGCTTAATCACAACTTATTATATTTACTTAATTATTGACCATTCTGGATGTGGGATAGCCACATTTGAGTCCTTAACTGTTGCATCACCAAAACCAAATTTTCTTTTCCTTTTTCGTGACCTAAACCATAATTAAATTAAAAAGTTAGACTAATAATCTGGTTTTATCGTTTTCTAGGTTTACTTTAAGAAGGTGAGGTGTGGTTGATCAACAAACATTTGTATGATTTGCAGGAAGTGCGACTGAAAGAGCATCAAATACTATCATAATTATTAATTAGTGGGAGTTATATGATGCGATTTTGACTTGTCGAAGCAATTAGTTTCTAATTTATTTGCATAAACAAATTAAATAATTAAAGTACGTGATTAATACACATATGCATGTAAGGGTAAATTCAACATAAATATAATTTTGTGAGCTATTATTAGGAATACTCTATTTTTTTAAAATAGATCCAATGATTATTATTTTTTGTTAAGTTTGTGATAAAACTGAAAGTTTGAAAGAATTGTAATTGTAGACATCGAAATTTCGGTAAATAAATATTGACCGATAAATCAAAGTTTCAACGCTCATGTATTACATAAATTTTACACGTGGCGTGTGTCTAAACAAAAAATCAAAATA